TTTTGCTCTTTAACATAGAGCTCATTTTCTCGTAAGACTTAGAACACCCTTCTCAAGTGCTCGACGTGTTCCTCTAAGGTCTTACTATACACCACAATATTGTCAAGGTAAACTGCAATAAAATGATCTAGAAAGGGTTGTAGTACCTTGTTCATCAATGTGCAGAAGGTGGTCGGAGCATTCGTGAGGCCAAAGGGCATCACAAGGTATTCGTAAGAACCATACCTGGTCACACAAGCTGTCTTCGGTTCATCTCCCTTGGCTATCCTGACTTGGTAATAGCCCGATCGTAAATCTAGCTTGGTGAACCACCTTGCACCACCAAGCTGATTGAATAAGTCCGCAATGAGGGGAATGTGATACTTGTTCTTTACTGTGAGCTTATTTAAAGCTCGGTAATCTATGCACATCTGTAGAGAACCATTGTGCTTCTTTTGAAATAGCACCGGTGCACCATAGAGGGACTTGGATGATCGGATGTATCCGGCATCGAGGAGATCCTTCAATTGTCTGCGCATCTCCTCTAACTCGGGCGGAGCCATTCGGTAAGGGGCCCGAGAGGGTGGCTTTGCATTCTCCACAAGCTAAATCTTGTGATCCACCTCCCACTTTGGAGGTAACTTTTTGGGTAACTCGGCAGGCATCACATCTTTGAATTCTTCCAAGACATGACTTACCATGTCGGGAACTTCTTTGGTCATGGTTGGTTCGTCACACACCAAGGCAGGTAAGAAAGTCGGTTCCTACTTGCGCACCGCCTTCGAGAATTGGATTACGGACAAAATTTTGGCCCATACTCCGAGCCCTCGGCTTACTGGAACAATGCATTGTTGCTTTGGATCCAAGATGCACAAGCAATCAGCAAAATGTACTGGGAAAGCATTTATTCGGTCCAAGAAACTTAACCCAAGAACAAAGTCGAAGTCATCGAGAGGGATTACCTTGATGTCTTCCTTTCCGGACCAACCTCCAACGGTTAGCTCGATTCCTTTTGCGACCCCCGCAATCGGAACTTCTTCGGCGTTCACGGTTTTGATGGAACCACTTGCCTTCTCCACATGAAGGCCAAGTCTCTTGGCAATTTGTTCAGACATGAACAACTCTGAGGCACCGGTGTCCACTAGTACACTCATCTTTTGGCCTGCCACGGTGATGTCTACGTACATCAGTCCCTTCTTCTTGTGCCCCTTCTTGACCTCCATGGTGCTAAGGATGGAGCCAAGCTTGAGAGTTTCACTCTCCACCCCATCATTCTCCTTGATGGAAACAACTTTCACAAGTTGAGGACAATCTCTTTTCATATGATTTCCTCCACAACTGAAGCATGATAGTTCACCCTTTTTCTCCCAAGGATTGAAGAGCTTTTTGGGTCGATCATTTGGCTTCCCATGATTTCCTGTTGGCTTATGAAAGCTTCCTTTGGCCTTCTCTCCCCCACTATTACCTTTGGGTTTCGGCTTGGATTGGAGAGTGTCAGTCTTCTTTACTTCAAACGGGGAAATGGCCTCAGCTGCATCCAATGCCTTGGAGAGTTCAGTCACTCCCCTCCTCTGGATCTCCATGTTGGCCCAATGTTGTAGTCCATCCATGAATGCAAAGTACCATTCTAACTCGCCCAAGTCTGGGATTTGCATCTTGATCTCAGTAAAGTTTTTGACATACTCCAAGATGGAACGATCGTGCCTCAATTGTTTCAGTTTTGCTCGAGCCTCGAGCACAACATGTTTCGGATAGAAATACTCCTTGAGTTCTCCCACGAACTCTTCCCACGTTCCGATTGGATTCGTACTTTCAGAACACCTACGACGCCACCATAACATAGCAACATCGTTAAAATAATTAGAAGCAACATTTACCTTGGTGGTATCATCCCTGATACCTATGCCACGGAAGAATTATTCTATTCCCCAAATGAAATTCTCTACATCTTGGGCATTTCGACTCCCCTTGTACTCCTTTGGCTTAGGGACGTCGATCCTGGGTCTTGGTGCTTGCGTCTCCCCAGTCACTCCATTCAACACGACAGCCTTGTAGACAAGCAGCTCGCTCTTGAGCTCCTTTACCTCCTGCATTATTTCGGCCCTCATGGCCAAGTACATGTTCTCGAGGCCTCTGGTACGCTCGTCTACGTTCTCCGTTAACTCGCTGATGAGTGCTTGGGTTCCTTCACAGAGTACATCCTCCACGGACTCCACCTTCTCCAAGCGAGATTCAACCGAGTCTTGAGTCTCTTGGACTTCATTATATCGGTCTTCCAACCTGTCGACCATTTGCTCGAACGAGGCCACCATATCTTTCGGGTTCCCTCGCTTCTTTGGTACGGTAACGCGAGTCACTTCGCTTGTCGGGACCTCGTCTTGGTTTTATTGTGCCATTTCTCGTAAAATTGGCTCTGATACCACTTGTCACGCCCTTAGAACTTCGACGCCTCGAAATGTGCGGCTTTAGTCGTCTTCTTAGTGATTGCGGCTAAGTAAGCCTAAAAATATCCCAAGCAAGGATGCTTAGAACCTCGACGGAAGCTAGACAAAAGAACTAGCACAAGAAGGAAGATAAGAAAGCTTTGAGAGAAGAATGCTCTTATGATTTCTCAAAGTGAAGGAGTGAGTACAAATGAGGAGGGGAGGCCTCTATTTATAGCTAAAACTTCCCTCAATGAACGGCTAAGATCTAATTACATTAACGGTCGAGATTAAATCCTACCTACCAAAAATAAGTGGGCATTATCTATACAAATTTAAATGCCACCTAAGTCTTTGTGGCTTCTAGAAGGTCCAAAACACCACTTGGGCTGCTCTTCATGGGTTAACCTCGGTTGTGGGCTCGTGGTCTGTGACATTAACATGCATAGCAGGGTGGAAAAGGAACCGACATCCAAAGTGAGGGGCCGCACCAATGATAACTTGAGTTAATAATTAATTTGAAGCTAGTTAAGTAAGCCAAGAATTTTTCTCCTCCACATGGTTTGACAAACCTTAAAAGCTCAAAAGCTAATTTCTATAAAATTCCACAATTTCAATGGTGATTTGTGTTATAAGCCTTTAGATAACAATTCAGCTACAACTATCACTAGTCTGTCATAAAATGTTAGACCACAATCTTAGCGTTATCCATCTTGACTCAGTACGTATATCCCTTGCTAAACAAGCTTAGTGGAAATCTAAAATGGAAGTTTCAAGTACCCCGATTTCAGGCGCATGACAAAGAGAGCTTGATGGAGTTAGTAGTTCCTAATATCTCCTAGGTTTACTAATACGCAACCATGCGCTGATACTTGAAATGTCAAAATAGAGTGGGAGACAAGGTGAATGTCTCGTTCTTAACAAGTCCATGACCAGAAGATGTAGGCCTTAATGTCTGAAGACTAACAAGTAAACTACAAATTGCACGTTTTGCAAGTTAGATAAGGACTCCGAAATGGTTGTCTTTATCAAGACGAGATTCTACTGACACATGTACTCTACTTTGATAACCATTTTTGATATTTTATCGATTAACGAACATAGCATTAATAAAAGCTCCTGCACATAGGAAAAGGACTAGTCAATGTAATATTGATAACTCGTATACCATTTATAATTAAACAAGTGTTTAACGTTTACGTTCAATGCGAAATAATGTCAAATACATAGGCCTTAATGTCTGAAGACTAACAAGTAAACTACAAATTGCACGTTTTGCAAGTTAGATAAGGACTCCGAAATGGTTGTCATTATCAAGACGAGATTCTACTGACACATGTACTCTACTTTGATAACCATTTTTGATATTTTATCGATTAACGAACATAGCATTAATAAAAGCTCCTGCACATAGGAAAAGGACTAGTCAATGTAATATTGATAACTCGTATACCATTTATAATTAAACAAGTGTTTAACGTTTACGTTCAATGCGAAATAATGTCAAATACATACATATTTTTTTAATAGTATATGTAATTATTAAATAATATTTATTTAAAAAATTAACTTCTAGATAATGAAAACATATTTTATAAACATAATTACTCGATTTTAAATCTTCTGTAATCACTAACAATCCCTGAACTAAAATTATTTAATGAATTCAATACACATGTCTTTCCTTTATTATTTATTAGTTATTATATTCTAAAGAAAAATTAAAAGCCCAAAAGCTTTAAAGAAAAGGGCAAAATACACAAATAGTCTATCGATTATAAGATGATACTTTGTTAAATCTCTCCCTCAATTATTAAAAATTATAAAATAATCTCTCGATTATAGGATATTGCTTTGTTGAGTTCATTGACTATAAAAATTTACAAAATGGTCACTCGACTATTTAGTATATTCCAAACTAGTCATTTTCCGTTTAGAATTTGACAACAATCTAAGTTGGATACTAACATGTTGATTGAAATATGATAAATTTTTAAGATTTTGAAATCATATTTTATCATATCTCAATTAACAGGTTAACATCCAACTCAGTATGTCATCAATCTTTTAATAAAAAAAGACGGATTTAAAACATACTGAATAGTTGGATGACCATTTTATAATTTTTAATAGTTGCGAGACTCAACAAAACAACACTCAGATATCACTTTGTAACTTTTAATAGTCACCACTTTGTAGTCCGATACCATTTGTGAACTTTACCTAAAGAAAAACACACCTCAGGTTTAGCTGCTTAATTTTAATATTCCTTCTCCGTATTTTTCTAGCGTATATGTCTTCTAAGCTATGGTTGTCATCTACTTTTTCCTTTATGGCCAAGGTTATCGACTACTTAACATACTCGAACCCAGGCTTTGGCAAACAAGAAGGGTGGATCTTCAGGCATGTTTAAGGCTTGGTGATAATAGTGGTTCTGTCATTTATTGTTTTGTTTCGTTTTACTGAAATATAGAGGAAACAATCCATTGGATTATATTGATAGACAAACCAGCAAAAACCCACCAATAACAAGAGATTGAACCATCGACTTTATTTGACAAATCCATAAGCTTAGCCATCATACATTTACAACAAGCATCAAGAAAGAAGTGAACCAGCTCTTATAATCGCCATTACCAGCTAATGCTTCAAACAGAAAGTTCTACAAGACTAACAACACGGGTTCCACTCCGCATTTAATCGAATACTTCTCACCTTCCCAGTGAGTGAGATCAAGTTTAGTATTTTATTACTCCCAAGCTCTTCAACCAGGGGAGCATTTCTTCTAGTCCATCTTTCAAGCTTCTAGGTGTGTAATCCAACTCCAACTTGGCCTTGTCGCAAGTATATGCCCATTGATGCCTTAAAACATGCACAGTCTGCACAACAAAGAAAACAGAGTTCTTTGTCAAATGGCTACGCAAAGCTAAGAATATGAAGAGCCAAAACAAAACATTATGATGTTTGTAGGGAACAACATAACAAAATTCAACAGGTTTAAATGTTCTAATATATTAATGGATGGAAGCCATTGAGCAGATCATACCGGGGGACTAATGAGAGGAAGCTTTCCTGTAATTCGAGCAAAAAGAACAGAAATCCATCCATAAACTTCAATCAATCCTAAAGGGATGTTGAATTTAGGCGTAGCAGTTCCAGTGATAATGGCAGCTATGTCGAAAACATGCCTGAATGATGCATTTTCTCCGGTAAGTAAATATCTTTCCCCAGGTCGACCCTTTTCCATGGCTGCAATATGACCCTCCACTACATCATCCACGTGACTGAAAGAAAACCTATCATTTCCACGCCCTATGTAACCAGGTAATCGCCAATTAAATCGTTCAATTATCTGAATAAAGTACCATTCATTTTATCAATTAATAGAACTAACAAAGTTACAAAAAAAATACAAAATTTGAAAGAAATTTCTTACTAATTGAGCAACAACATTGCCGGTGGTAAGCTTGCCAGGACCATAAATTACACCGGGATATACTGGAATAATTGGCACCCCCTCAGCTATAGATTGCAAAGCAATCTTGTCCGCGGCGGCTTTTGATTTCTCGTACTCCGTGCAGAAGAATTTCTCCGGATGAGTCTGTCAATTAGAATTTAGAAAATCAGAAACAAAATTATTTTCCTCGTTGAATAATCTGGGTGATTAGCTGTTTATTTCTTTACCTGATTCTCATCGGCGATATATCCATCGGTAGGACCGATAGCAAAGAAGGACGACGTGTATATGATCTTCTTAATTGTCTTCGTCTCCTTAGCTGCTTGCAACAGGTTCTTCAAACCCCCAACGTTGACCTTTCATTGAACAGTTTAATGGCAGCATGTCAGTACATATGTAAAAAAAGGAGTTACTAAGCGGGCAACTGCAATTTGATTTAGCATACAGAGACGAATCTGGAAGGATCTGGAAGCCAGGGTTCGACGAGTGCAGCGGTGTGGAAGATGACGTCGCAGCCAGAGCAGGCATCTAGAAGGGATGGGTAGTCGGTGACGTCGCCGTATGCAAGTTCCAGAGAAGCGCCATTGGTGGGTGAAGATGAAGGAAGTCCAGAGAGGTCACTGGTTCGCCGGACCAAGGCTCTGATGGTGTAGCCGCGTTTCACCAAAGCGTGGCACAGCCGTCCTCCTAGATATCCCGATGCGCCAGTTACCAGTATCTTCATATTTTCTTGTCTTCAAATCAAATATCAACAATTGTTTCCTTTTCTATTATGACCTGGGATGATTTACGAATCAAGATCCTGAAAGAACATGGGTTGATCCATTTTATTTTTAAGGTAAATTACTCTATTACTCATTGAACTATACTCTTTCTCCAATTTTATTCATTGTACTTTTAATTTTTTCAATTTATTCATTGAGCTTTCGAATTATTCATGTTTTTATCAATTTGAATTATTTTATTATTATTTTTATATGATGTGTCATTTTTTTATTATTTAATATAAAATAATTGAAAATATAAAATAAAAATAGAAGGTGGTTAGACACTCTGTCGACCACTGTCGATTGCCATAGATGGTGGTCGTTTAGTCTCAAATTTCATGAGTCTTGTTCGTCTCAACACCTTGAGTCTGAATCCGTCCTCTATTTTTCCAGAACTTGTTCTGAAGTCCAAAATTGGAGATCAAAATCGGTTTTGAGATATTTTCTAGTGAAACAACCACTAGATTAGGACTCAAGGGTCGGGACTAACAAGACCCATGCAATTTGGGCCCGAATGACCATCATTTACGGTGGTAGACAATGGCCGACGGTGGCGTCCGGCCACCTTATGTTTTTATTTTATATTTTCAATTATTTTAAATTAAATAATAAAAAATGACACATCATACATAAGTAATAGTAAAATTAATTCTAAGTAATCAAAACATGAGCAATTCGAAAATTCAGTGAGTAAATTAAAAAAATTAAAAGTTACAATGAATAAAATAGGAGAGAGAATATAATTAAATGAGGAACAATATATTTTACCCTTCTTTTTAATACTTTTAACTCTTAATTAAAAATAGTGGTAAAAGATTTACAAAATCATTATAAACATATTCTTTTGACATAAATAAAAACAATTAATTTTATTAAAAAAAGGAAAATATCTAAAATTAATTTACAATTAGATTCTTAAACATAATATCTTTATAAACATATTTTAATTTTATAATTTGAAAAAATAAAAAAATAAACATGACACAAATAAGATATTAATCTAACTAATAACGGTTGGTCTAGTTGGACGAGCTACTAGATTCCTTAAACAATGTTAAGGATTTTAATCTTAGTGTTTGCGAATGGAGTAAATTGAGTTGAAAGGGTCGCCATCACCTCTGAAATACTTGATCTAAACTAGTCAATTAATAGATTAGGATAGAGGAAATTATCACTTTGAATCAGAAGAGTTCCCTGAAAGCTCAGACTTGGGCTGAACGTTTGACCTCAAGTTGTTGAATGCGTGTTTAAATACAAAGAATTAAGGCAACCGATGAAAAACATAAGGGTAAATTATGGAAATGTTCACTAATGTTTGGGTAAGTATTTGTTTTTATCACTGATGTTTGAAAAGTCACAAATCGATCATTAACATTATTGTTTGTTACAAAATGGTCACTGAACGTTAACAACCGTTACTGTGGGTGACAGAAAGCTGATGTGGCACATTAATTCGATTTTTTTACATCATTCCACCATATTAGACCGTTTTGACCGACCCTTCTTTTCAACCCAACCCGTTCTTCTTCTTCTTCTTATTCTTCTTCTTCAACCAAATTGTCTTTGGTTGATTTTGCATCTTCTGTGACAACCTCTTCAACAGAATGTTCCTTTTATTCTAGATGAAAGAACTTCAAAAAAACTGATCTATCTGTGTTGTAAACATGCCTATATCTGGAACTCACACCCTAGTCAAAGTAACATAGTTCCTAGATTTAGTAAGGTCAGTATTTTTCTGGTGGGATATTTGCATCGCTTTCAACGCTTCCGAGTTGGGGGCTGAAGCTCTTTTATTGTATGTGATGGTGATATATTGAAGGTATAATAATCCTCAATAATGCTTTCTATAATTGCAGACAAAAGTTCTTATAACAAAGCTGACTGAAGAGAAAACTAAAGCAATTCAATAAAATAACAAGCTTCGCCAAGAGCTGGTGAGTCAAACTGACAATGATATATTCAATAGGAATCGTAGTAAATTCGTCGACCCTTTATTTTTTGCTTAATCGTCTCTCCGTAATTGCTTCTAGTTATTGAAAATTTCGAGCCTCCTGTTTCCCTTTTACATCTCAGACCTCAACATGATCCCTACTCATCTTTCCATCAAACCAATATGATCTTGTTGTTAGTTGCTTATGAAATGCAGTTAAAAACTTTCCATCACCTGATAGATTTGTGCTTTCTATATACTTGTCTCAGACCGGTTCATCATGTTCTGCTGGTCTATACGAGTAACGCGGAATTCTCACAAGAAAAAATCACAAACGTTTAGGAACCGTTGAAGCGCGAAAGCAGCAAAAGTGGTTGCGGTCTGTCGTTCATGCTTGATATGTGTTTATCCATTCTTTCACCACCGCAAGCCGACCAAATCCCGTCGATTAAGTTCAACAACCCCGATAGCATTACTTCACTCTCTTTTTTCTCCTCATTTTTTGATATCGAACTAACCAGACTGGACCCAAGAAGAATTTAAGCAAACCTAGAAAATAAAATTTGGAAAGGTTAAGGGATTAAGTTACCTTTGTTGATCGTATTTTCAAAGACCAATAGATTTGTAAGACAGTTCATGAAGAAGAGAGCATAAGATGAAATGAGGGGAAAAAGTAGAAGAAATGAAATGAGAGTTAAAACTGGGGGGGGTCTGTTAAAAATGTTTTGTGTTGCTTGAGCCATTGATAATTTGATTGCATAAGGTGGTTTAAGTTTTGTTTATTTCTTTGCAGGGAACTTTTTTTGCTTTCCCCTGGTTTAGGTGTGCAGGACTTGTTTGTGCAGTTTTGATTTGGGTAGGAAGATCTTTGTATTGAATTTTTTTAGGTTAGAATGAAAGCTTAATTCATTCAAAAATGGTGGATTTTGAGTTAAAAAGACGTATGAAGATGAGAGAGTGGAGATGAAAGAGAATGGTAAGTCAAAATAATGGTTAAACAGTGTCAAATAAGCATTTAACGTGCCACATTAGCTTTTCGTCACCCAAGTAGTTAACTTTCAGTTATCATTTTGTAACAAACGATAACGTTAGTGATCAATTTGTAACTTTTCAAACATAAGTGGTAAAAACGAACACTTATCTAAATATTAGTGACTATTTGTGTAGTTTACCCAAAAATAATTTTTATATTTTAGCTATACAAGTCCCGTATATTAATTTCTCCTCCAAGCCGTTTGCAGCAGCCAGCAGTCTATAAATACTTTTATTTTCAAATCGAGGAGATTTATCCATTTAGAAACAGTTACAACCTTTACATTCTCTGTGATTTATGTCCTCATCATCATCCTTTTTTTTTGGTATTTCTTGTAAAATTTTCAGACCCATGTGATGCATGCTTGAAGATAAAAGATACGATTGTCAGCTAAGTAATAACACCAACCAGAGACATTGAAACCTATGAAAAACAGAAACTTCTTCTAAGCAACAGTAGCATAGCAAGATGACTATCAATTGTATGATACAGTAGAATGCGAACACATTTATCACAACCTGCTGTGTGTTTATGTCCACACCACAAAACATTGAATAGTCCTGGGTGTGAATGGTACCACCCCGCCACCATCTCTGGCATGTAACAAGAAGCAAAAATGTTCAACTCTCCCCAAAAAAAGAGAAAGCGAGCTGCTTCTATCCCTAAAAACTACTGGTGTTAGGATACCTTCAATAACAAATAAACTCAAAACTACGATCATTTTTCTTATGGATCGTGATTCTCGTTCAAACTAAATGAGAGAAATCGCTTACAGATGATCTAACAGGTTTCTCCCCAACCAGTAAATACCCAACTAAAAGCCGTTGTATTGCAACCATAAGTCATGAATAAGTCATCTTATGACATTTCCCTCTATCAAGGGGGAGAATTTATTTTACCTCTAAAAACTTCTCCATCCACTAAAATCTTGACTTGTCAATATCCCCTAAAAACACAGACATCTAATTAACTATTTCGGATAGAAAAGACTTATGATAGAAAAATTTTCTGATAAGTCCATGTGATACGTTAGAATAAAATCTAAAGTATAGTTACTAAATCTACTTAACATGATGACCTTACAACTGACTAGGGCTGTAAACGAGTCGAGTCGAGTCGAGCTCGAGTAGTGTTAAGCTCGACTCGACTCGAAAAGTGTAAAACTGAGTTCGAGTCGACTAAAAAATTGTAAGCATAAAATTTTCAAACTCGACTCGAACTCGAAATAAAGAATTGAAGCTCGACTCGGCTCGAAAGATCGCGAGCTTAAAATTTTCAAGTTTCACTCGAAATCAAAAATTGAAGTTCGACTCAAATTCGAACCCGAACCTTAAATACATGAAAACTTTATATGGTATTTTTCTAAAAAAATAGCATACAAATGGTATTTTATTATTATCAATTTAATTTCAAAAATCTAAAATTTTAATAATATATTATTTTTTCGAGTAGCTCGCGAGCTTTTCGAGTCGAGTATCAAATAGCTTACTTTGGCTTGTTAAGAATTCGAGTCGAGCCCATTCGATTCGAGTATTGACCAAACTTTAACTGAATCAATCTCGAATAGCTTGCGATATATCTCGTCTCATTTACAACTTTATAACTGACACACACTAATAGCCTCTATAAATACTCCCAATCAAGATTGCAAATGAAGAGAACGGTCCGTAACAAGTCAATCATCTTTTTTATTTTTCATGATAATTCGTTCTCTTCTTTTAAACATCGATAAATGATTATCCTCTCGTCAACTATGACTATCCATCCAAACAAAAAGAAATGAACCGTTCACGGCCGACAAGATAAACATGTTCCATCAACACTACCTATATTAAAATAATTTAAGCGGTCATTTATAAAGAAGCTGACTTTCCACACTTATTTGGGGCGGCACGCACTCTCATATTTTTTTCGTTATCCGCGACTCATATTTCAAATTTAAAATAAATTATTATTATTTGATTTATAAATGATATATATTTTATATGTCAATGTCGATATATTATTAAAAGTAATTATAAATAAGCTTAGTTTTAAAATTATAACGAAGGTTTATCATTGTGATCATAAACTAAATATATAATTATGATATTTTTTCATGAACATTGACACAAGAAATTAGTCATTTAATATTATAGGAGGATAATACAATATACAATATTAAAAATCTAACCAAAAAATTCAAACAAAAGATGGATACAAACAAATCTAACTGCATCAACAAACAAAATACAAAAAGATATCAAACTACTAAAAGATTATCGACAATCGCAAATCAAAATCGAGTGATGTGAGAAAACTATCCACAAACACAAACCATGTATCAAAATCCAATTTGAGGTTTTAAAGCAGATAAAATCACCAAGATAACACATAAACAACATCTTGATTAGTCGAGTCGAAATCAAATACAACCATGAAAAAAGATAAACGAAAAGATATGATCGAATGACCGATAAAAAAGATCGAAAACATGCCAAAAGAATGAAAATGTGTCATAAAAATAAAATTATTAAAAAAATATTTAATATAGAAAATAAATGAAAAATAAGAAATATAAACTATCGACATTTAATATTGAAATTAATATTGTTGTCTGTTAGTTAGATATAAAAAAAATGAACTGTGTTTGTCGAGAGTAAAAAAACAGGATTTTTTATTAAATCGTAAAACGTAAAAAAATAATGAACACAAATAATCGATGATTAATATTTATAATTAATATCGTCATCTGCTAATTAAAGATGAAAAACAAAAAAGAATGAACTGCCCATGTGGAGAGTAAAAGAAACTTAGGGTTTTTATTAAATCGTATAGCTTAAAAAATAAAATAAAAAGCGTATATAAATATGAAGACGTAGTTTGTTTGTTATCATACCACATTAATTATATTTACTTCTATTCCCTAAAGTGAAATTCAACCATAGAGTTAAATAATACGAAAGCGAAATATATTTAAAAAAACATAAAGTAATTGTGCTGATTTTCTGGTTGATTAAGCGTATGGTCGTGTATTAAATATCACAAAAGCAGTTTTCTTTTATTAAACTGGAATCAATATATCATACTATATATTAAATGTTTCGTTATAATTAATTCCTATACTTTGGAAATCAAAATATTTTATCATATTGATATAGGAAATTGAAATGAAATGAAATAAATAAATTTGTTTTAGATTTTGAAGGAGTGGGTCAATGCTCCGATCACCATTAATTATGTGCCATATATGTGGTGTGGCTTGGTTGAAAATATTAACTTGCCATGAAAAACAATGGTACATGATTCGTTTAATTTGTCAGAGCAATAAAATCATGTTACAGATCAACGAAGTAGACATTTGAATCTTGAATGTCCACATAGAGAAACTTGAAGTCAAAGGCAATTAAAATCTTGGGTGGTTGTTGAAGGAATGTATATGATAATGGTATACAATCAAATGGTGTGGAACTTCCGTAATCTCTCGTTATGACGAGAGTATCATAAGTGTTGTTAAAAAGGGCAGTGTCTTTCGCTGCTGCAAATCGCCCCTCTGTTTCATTTTAAGCATCTTTCTTCCATCTTTCCTTGTCTGCCTAAGATCTCACAGTTCCTTTAGTTTTTCTCTTTACAGTTTCCCCTTTCTCACTCTCACAAAAGACATGGATTCCAAAGAAGTTGCTCTCGATTTGTTTCCCTACCTTAAAGTATACAAAGATGGAACCCTGGAGAGAGTCGCCGGAGTTGAAGTAGTTCCCCCAGGACTTGACCCTGAAACCAACGTTTTATCAAAAGACATCGTCATTGTACCCGAAACCGGTGTCTCGGCTAGGATTTACCGATCCAACTTGGCTACTGAACATCAAAAGCTTCCCCTTGTAGTTTATTTTCATGGTGGAGCCTTTTGCGTTGCATCTCCCGCTTTTCCAAACTATCATAACAACCTCAACAAGCTCGTGGCTGAGGCTAACATCGTTGCTCTTTCGGTTGGGTACAGGTTAGTCCCCGAGCATCCTCTTCCTACTGCATATGAAGATTCATGGTCCGCATTACAGTGGGTGGCTTCTCATAAGGACGAAGAAGGCAACCACGAGGCTTGGATCAAGAACTATGCCGAGTTCAAAAACGTGTTTTTGGCTGGTGATAGTGCTGGTGCGAACATTGCACATCACTTGGCTTTACGGATCAAGGAGTCGAACTTGGGTCACAAGTTGCAGATTCGTGGTATTGGTATGATCCATCCTTACTTTTGGGGAACGAACCCAATTGGATCAGAGATGAGTGATCGGTTGAGGAAAGATTTAGTGGATAAGTGGTGGTTGTACGTTTGTCCCTCTGACAAAGGGTGTGATGATCCGCTTATTAATCCGTTTGTAGATGGTTCCCCTGATCTCGCAGGCTTGGCATGTGATAGGACCCTTGTTATTGTTGCAGAGAAGGATATACTGAAGGATAGAGGGATGTTATATTATGATGAGCTGGTGAAATCTGGATGGAAGGGAAAGGCAGAGATTATGGAGACAGAAGGTGAAGATCATGTCTTCCATATCTTTAATCCTGAATGTGACAAGGCCAAGAGCTTGATCAAACGCTTAGCTTCTTTTATTAACCAAGGCAAAGCTCCCGTCGAATGAAGTGTGAAAGCTATACTTGGTAGTAAACTAACTTAAAAGAATGTGGTTGAGATCCCCCGTGGATTTGTTTGCATTTCTTTTTCATTATTCTTCTATTGATGCACTTCTCTGAATGTGTCGTTTGATCGTTTCCTCCTATATGGGCTATGGCCATGATCTTACTATGTCTTTACTTCTACAAAGAGCTTCTGACTTCGATTTATTAGGCGTGAGTGAAGGATCCCGAATCAATCATATTAGCTACCGCTGCTCCTGCTCAACCAATCATGATGACATGCTACATGGGAACCAGGCACTCCTTAAGATTGCCCTTCGGCATCGCCTTTTTCTCTTTTCTGTAATTCTTTTATGATAGTACTTTTAATTTCAACGCCGTGCCCTCATTCAGAACAAAAACTTCTCAACGAAATATTTGAGGAAATTATGAAACTTCAAGTCAAAACACTGAATATAATCACGACCAATTAAAATTTGCTAAAACGAACACGCAGAACCTCAAACAATTGCTAAAATGCAAGTTCAACAAGATGAAACGACATCCCCTCTCTCCCACGTACACCGAGGGAGGTAGCGACAAAAAGGGAAAAAGCATAAAAATTTAATGACAGGTAGATAGTTCGCTTTATGCAATTGACCGACAGTACATGATATCAATATAGATGCAATTACAGAACTGGATGGGATAATACAGTTCCTAAGAATCTAGAACACGACTGTGTCAAGCATAGTTCCCAGGGTCTGAACTATGTTCGAGGACATCAAGTTTGAGACATGCTCCTCTAAGTGCTTCTTGGCATCTTGTCGCCCAACATTCACGATTGCCAGCTTCTCAGGGGGTAATTCATCTTCCTCTTGCACTGCCTTGTTGTATTTCATAGCTAAATTCAACATTTCCTGCATAATTCAAAATTAACCCTCGTCATTACTTTGCCTTGTGTAAGACCATTTTTCATTATAACAAGCAATTAGATATTCGTTAGGAATTAGACATTTGAACCTTTTGAGCAAACGTTCTAAATGCAACTTCTTTAAAACAAGAAACCCACTGTAAGGGAAGTACCTCATATCAATGTGGGACAACATAAAGTCAATACACAACCAATGATTCAACACCATAAAATCCGCTAAAACCTTCACTCACCTGAACAGTCTGTTCATTGGTTTTTGAATGGGTATCAAAACGCCGAAGTGTCAGGCCATCAGTCCACTTCTTCTTATGAAGATTCAACAGCATCTTTTCCTCAAGTTCATTCTTTCTGTAGTTAATGGCTATAGAATAATAGTGTCTATTTAGACCATGGATCAATGCCTGGAAATGAAAGATAATAAGACAAGACCAGTCCCCATATCCAAGAAACAATTGGGAAAAACTCGTACAGTATTCATTTGGCACTCACTTGGATAGATGGCTTATTAAGATGCCCCAGATTAGATGTTGTTTGACGTGGTTCTTGGCCAAGCATCATGGTTTGTGGGTTGATCAAACGAAATGCATCAATCACCACCTTCCCTTTAACACTCTGAATTGGATCCACCACCACTGCAACAGCCCTTTGATTCAATGCTTCAAAACTCTGCAAGCAGCGGCAGATGTTAGCAACACAGGCCACCTTTCATTGATCAAATAGTTACGGAAAGTATATCTATTTATAAACCATTGGAATGGTCTTCACTAGAAAAGGTCAACATGTAAAACATACAGCAAATGGTATAGGATAGGCAAAAAAAGGGCTAGCATCAAAACTTTTCAGACCTTATATACGTAACAGAAAAATATTCAGCAACCTATACTTGGGTCAAGCAATTATGATACTTATAAGCTGTCATATACTCGCATATTTTTGACACATTGTACAAAGCACGATACTAGGCAGACACCAAGTTTATGTCATGATTACTAATAAGCATCAACAATAATGACATATATGCATTTTTTTCAGGGAAAAGGAGGGCTTACAAAGCAATGAATAACAATAAATACACTGCAGTGTCCAAAATGATTTAAGGACAGAGTAGACAAGCAATCCTTTACCCTTGAACACCCCCCTCCTCTGAAACCAAAATAAAAATAGGACTGAAAAGTAAAGGAATTTAAATATAATACTTAGATACCACTAATATTCTCATTTCCTTGAAAATATAAGAATGATGTGATTGTAAGCCAAGTACTAACACTAACCAGAGACATTGAAACCTATGGAAAACAGGAAATTCTTCTAAACAACAGTAACATAGCAAGTTGACTAGCATTTGTATGATGCAGCAGAATGCAAAAAAGTCAATCACAACCTGCTGTGTGTTTATGTCCACACCAGAAAGCCAACAACCAAATCCTGGATGTGAATGGTACCACCCCACCACCATCTCTGGCCTGTAACAAAAAGCAAAAAGGTCAGCAACCAATCAATTGAAATAATAATATGTGATCACAGAGTACAATACCATCTAATCTTGTCATATAAATACCATCTCTTCAAATTTTGAGCTATTCCCAACAACTATTATAAGTTAGTATTAACGAAACTAAAGACAAGAGTGTAGACACTGCCTTCCTGTTTGTTTGAGCATGTCAAGCATATTTGTTTGGAAAACATGATCCACGGCTTCGACACTAACACCAGTACCGCTCTGTGGCATTGCAAAGACATCCACGACGCGGACAGTGTACTCGTCAACAAACTCTCCCAACATCAAACCCATAACTTCCATGGGAACTCCGGCTCTCCCTATAATATGTTCAAATCAACCAAATAAAAAAAACATAATTACAACAATCCACTGCAAAGGCTAAACTCTTAACCCTAAATCAGAAATCGGAAAGCTCACGGTTTTCGTAGACAAGTACATGAATCAGAAAAATATATATTTTTTACTTAATAAAAAGAACCTTAACTACAGAACCAAAACAGCAAATTTGTGAAGATAAAGGCTAAACCCTAGTTAGTTAAGAACTCCATACAAGCAGAGGCTGAGAAGATGAGAAAGAAGAATACCGTGCTTGAGCATTTTGAGAAGGGCAAGAGAGGAGATATAGACCTGCTCTGACGAATCGAGGGTCGGGGAATCTGGTGGCGGATGACCCAAAGCGCCTCCAGCACCGGCGAACATCCTCTGCAGTCTCTCCATGCCTGACATTGTCTGATAGGGGTTTCTGTAGAACTTTTCTTCGGCAACACGACAAACAAAATCCTCGTCGCTGTAAAGGCTTGATATATGTATTTATACCGAAGTCATAATGTCGGTCTAGTCCATGATAAATAGGAACTTAAATGGCCCAATATAAAAAAGGCATAGGCCTCCAATGAAACATTCTATGGTCCAATCAACCTGACTAAAATAAGTTTAGGCTTAACAATACAAACACCTCTTTCTCCCTTCAGTTATGAAAAAAACAACTTTCGGTGAAATCATCACCATCTTCAGCATTAGAGAGATATGGTGAAATATGGGGGGGGGGGGGGGGGGTTTCTGTTAGCATTGCCGTAGAAAGTGCTCAATTTTTTTATATGTTTTTATATTTATAATTTATTATTTATAGTTTTATGATATTTTGAATTTTATAGTTATTCTTTATTTTTTAATTTTTATAATATTTTTATTTATGATATTTTTTAATTTTTTTTATAATTTTTAAAGATTTTCATTTAAACATTAAATAATTTCTCAAATGTCAATTAAAATTAATATACTCTCGATTTCAGCTAAAAATAATTATGCCCTCAAACTTGATTAAAAAGTCATTTCAGCTCTTCTTTCATGTTATCATTCAGAATGGATTGTCAAGTAAATATCATAACAATATCAACATAGATTAAAGAATAAAATCAATGTAATTAAACGAATTCAATGACAAAATAGATAGAATTTAAAAATATAAATAAAATTATTGATTTAAGTTTACTTTTAAAAAAATACCCTTAAATTATAAATAGATATACATGTGATAAATACATAGATCTTAAGAGTGTTTATATTATTATTTTTACTTGAAGTATATTAATTTATATCATTTTAAATATATTTTATATATGTTTTTAATGCGATTCTATATTGTATTGTATTTATATTACTCTCTCTTTCTCATTAAATATGTTTTTTAATTAATTTTTTAACTTTTGACTTATTATTATTTAAAATATATTATTACTAAAAATAGGAAAAATATATTTTAAAAATCTTAAATGAAGTAGTTTTTAAAATATATTTTATAAAATTTAATTGTTTAAAATATTTAAAATAATCATGATCAAAATTAAAAAAATAACTTTTAAAATATCAATAAGTGATACATTTAGTGAGATGAAATAATTATATTTTATCTTAAATTTATTTCCCAAATCATTGTGAGCAAGGATGAAGCCACATTTAATGTGGGAGGGGTCGTCCAATCTTTAAGTTCAACTACATCTAAATCTCTGCAAGTGTTAAAACTACGTAAATTAAGCTTTCTCTCATTTTTTTTAATTATAGGTTCAACTATTTATTAGATTTTATTAATTTTAAATTAAATTAAATAATTAATAATTTTATTATTTTAGTTTAAATACCTTTTAAATATTTATTTAATTGAAATTAGACAAATTAAACTTTTATCTCAATTTTTAAATTTTAACTTGACAATTAGATTCCGATTTTTTAATTACTATATATTTGACCTCCGTTTTTTTAATCTAATTTAGGATAACGAAGGCTGTATTATATTTAATAATAATAGAAATTGGTGAAGATCGTTGGCAAATAATTAAATCTATAGACTATAGTGATAAGGGTTTTTGGTGCCAAAATGGCAAGATAATACATTAGGTTATGACTCTATCGTTAAGGCTTGGTTAATTGATAGAAAGGATATTTTTTTAAAGGGGGCATTTTGTATTTGATAGGAAAAACCAAAAGTAAGATAAAACATGGACCTAATTAAAAAACCTTCCTACACCTACTTAAGAAAAAAGAATGCACCATGAATGTCCATAATGTACAGCGCATAAAGCAGGACACAAACAAGTAACCAAGGAGCAACACTGACACAACTCACCAAGGCCTTTAAAACAAAAGCATATGATAACCAAAGAAAGCAAAGCATTCTAAGGAGAAGGAAATTTGAGGAAAAAGAGTGCACCATGAATGTCCATAATGTACAGCGCATAAAGCATGGCACAAACAAGTAACCAAGGAGCAACGCTGACACCAACTCACCAAGACCTTTAAAACAAACAAAAGCATATAATAACCAAAGAAACCAAAGAAAGGATATACTTTAACTGCATAGCTGGAAAAACAATTAAAAACGACGCATCATTTTTCATTGTTTTACTCACGAGAACGAGGAAACGTACAGTTAAGATATATATTTCTTGCAAGTTAATTTGATGTAGACTGGAGTTGTTTATTGTTAATTAAGTTTGCAATGATGAAGTAAGCTCTTAGTGAAGCACAAGTATCATTAATTCAAATTGATTTAAACTGAATTTTATATAAATCGTTGAAAAGTTTGTGCGACTACATTAATTATCTTTTTTTTTATGTTTATCCACACCCTTAGACTTTGTCATGTTTATATCATACACATACTTGAAAATAAAATAATAATTAGATATTATTCTGCACTAAGATTAGCCTTACTTGTTTAAGAAAGAGGGGATTAATTTCTTGTTCAAGACAAAAACTAGATGGCGGCCGCTAATTACTAGCAAATTTATGATGATTGACGTATGAACATTAGTCAGCATTGAAGACTTGATCCTATCTGTCTTTACCAAATGCTAGCTAATTTATTCATCATTTCACAAGTTTGCTCATATAATTGTTGAAGTAATTGAATTTTAGAGATAGTGCATACCTACAAATCTCCTTTATCTGTTAAGTCTATTGGCCTGAGATTATAGTAGTGTTGGAATTTCTAATCATTATTCCATTAGATGAATTCACAAGGGAAACAAACACCAGCACCAACGGAGGTTGGAACAAATAATTGACTCGAGGTTGCGGTGAGTAATGTAGTTGAAAGTTTCAAACCCTGACAATAAATAAATACCCTTACTTTACAGGTCTCTTTGCTTTAACCTGAAAAAATAACGCGTGCAACTCAGTATCTTCCTCGATGGAAGGAATTCCTAAACATATTATTCCAGGATGCAATCTTTTCGCAGATAGTCCAAGATCACCCCTTCAACCTCCCACATATGGGAATTTGATTACTGTTCTTAGTATTGATGGAGGGGGCATCAGAGGGCTTATTCCCGGAACTATAGTTGCCTTTTTAGAGTCTCAGCTTCAGGTAGCGTCAAGATTAGAATGTTGATTTTATACATGTATTGCTTGTTTTTATGAATTAATTGAGGTATTCGGGTATATACAGAAGCTGGATGGTGAGCAAGCGAGATTGGCTGATTATTTTGACGTCATTTCCGGGACTAGTACCGGTGGCCTCGTGACTGCCATGCTAACTACCCCAAACCCCAAAGAAGGGAACCGCCCTCTTTTTGCTGCCAAAGAAATCAAAGATTTCTACCTTCAACACTGTCCTAAAATATTTCCACAAGATACGTGGTAATGATCAGGATAACAAATTAGAATAAGTTTAAAGATGAATATAAATCATTTCTCAAGCAGATATTAAGATGATTTTCCGTTCTTGTTACTGCACAGTTGTTGCTTTGCACCAGCTACAAGTATGGTAAAATCTCTAATGGGACCAAATATGACGGTAAATATCTGCATGGTATTTTGAGGGAAAAGCTGGGAGAAACTAGATTGCACCAGACCCTAACAAATGTTGTGATCCCCACTTTTGACATCAAGCGACTCCAGCCTAGAATTTTCTCCAGCTATGAGGTGCAAGAATACAGATTTTATTTTTTGTCTAATTCCGTTTTGATTTGAACTCTTTGGAATTTATGAAATTACCATCACGTAGGTAAGGATCGATCCTTCCACAGATGCTCTATTATCAGATATTTGCATTGGAACTTCTGCAGCTCCAACTTACCTTCCTGCTCATCATTTTCAAATTCAAGATTCCACTGGTAAAACAAAAGGATTCCATCTTATTGATGGAGGAGTTGCTGCAATAATCCGGTACTTACACATTGAAATGATGGGATTTGCGTTATTAGAACTATTCTGTTGAAAATCTGATTTGTGTTTCTCTTTCAGACATTGGTTGCCATAAACGAAGTGACCAAAGAAATCCTTCGTGGGAATCCTGATTTTTTCCCTATAAAGCCGGTTGATTACACTCGGTTCCTGGTTGTATCTTTGGGGACTGGTTCACCAAAATACGAAGAGAAGTACAATGCTAGTGTAGCAGCTAAATGGGGTGTTTTGGGATGGTTGACCGGCGAGCACTCTACTCCATTGGTGGATATTTTCATGGATGCAAGCAGTGACATGATCGACTTTCACATCGCCACTGTTTTCCAAGCACTTCAATCTGAAAAGAGTTATCTCCGAATTCAGGTTTGCATAAGAAAATTATCCCTCAAAAACAACATATGTATGTACGTATATGACTCAAAGTCAAAGCTCAAAATCATGCAGGACGATACACTCTCGCAGCAAATGTCATCTGTGGATATTGCCACCAAGGAAAACCTGGAGAATCTTGTAAAAGTAGGAGAGGAATTGCTTAGAAAGCCTGTTTCAAGAGTGAATTTGGAGAATGGCCAATTTGAACCGGCTGGTAAGTTAACAAATGAAGAGGCTCTCATCAGGTATGCAACATTTTGACCGTCTGTTGCTCGTAATTGTTTTAATCTTATTTGACATGCAATCATCGACATATATATGTTGGCTTTCACTAATCTACAGAGTAGCAGAAGTTCTTTCCAAGGAGAAGCGGCTGCGAGACGTGAGATCACCCCATGGAAAGCTTTCGATAAAGGGAAATGAAGAATGCGCTCAGATTAATAACACAAGTACCTAATTTACTTGGTTTTAAAATTAGATGGTCATAACTCTTAAATGTAAATTCCTGTTGAACTGCTAGTAACTAGCTGTGTTATCTCTTAATCCATTTTGACATTTTGTAACTTGGTAAGTGTTTCTGTCTGTAATCATAAATACAATACGATTTACTATTATTATTAGTAGTAGTAGTATTAGTATTATGTAACTACATTCAAATTAATGCTATATTCTATTTAAATTTAATTTTAATTTTTAAAATAATTTTAAAAGACAGTACAATTCTTCACTACACTAAATAGCTTTCTTATAAATAATGTTGCAGAGTTAATTTTCTTATAGTATATATAAATATATACACATCTTATCAAATATAAATGATATTTTATCAATTATCATTTAACTATAAAAAAACTAGATTTCTCAAATAATGTAAAAGGTTTATATATTAATGATGTAAATTAGATTAGAAAAATTATTTACCAGTCTCCAAAGATGCAACCAGGAACCGAACGTAATCAATCGGCTATATAGAGGGGAAAATTAGGATTTCCACGAAGGGTTTCTTTGGTCACTTTGTTTATAGCAACTAATGTTTGAAAGAGTAACATAATACAGATATTCATCGGAATAATTCTAATAATAAGGATTCAGTTAGGATTGAAGTATGAGTTCAATAAATTATTTATCAAGTAATTAAAAGTTAGGATTTATTTACAAATTACAAATTATATAAAAGTGAAAATATTGTTCAAGAATATCCTGATTTATTGTCTTACAGAAACTTTCGTGGAAACATACTCTGATGATTACACCAAAGGCAGTACTGATAATACCCCAGTGACGTAGAACGGTGGCCTTTGAAAAGTATAGTCAACGTGGGTGACTTCGTCCATCAGTACAATTCCTCGATAATTTGTTTGCTGATTCTTTGAACCGCAAAGCTTATAACAAATCCGCGGGACAGTGACAGTGGTACACCTGTTGATACTTTAATGGAAGGCTTTTTAATCTGGAGTCTGAACCATTGCATATTTACTCATAATTTATATGGTCAAGTATCACGTGTTGAAGTTTCAAATATAGGGCAAAGCATTTCATTTTGAAATGTAAACTATCAAATCAACAACAGTACATATAACTCCTTCAAACCAAAGAGTTTTCTTAAAGTTGCAATTTTATGGTGCATGTCGCAAACAACAGAGACGGGGGTTTCAGTCGACCAGGCTTCGACGATGTATCCAAGAAAGTTGATCGTTACAGACTGGGTTTTGCTTTCCATGTTGAATGTTTCAAAGTTACATGTGACTTTTGAGAGAAGTGGAAGTCTATAAATACCAATGACATGCATTCCTCCAAAGCATCAAGCATACCAACAACTGAAGCTTTTAAGCATCTTATTGATCTTACCGAGCTCAATTGCGTAATCTAAGACCCTCAAACCCCAAAACATTCTCAGCCACTCATCGTAATGGGAAGTCTCCCACAAGACAGTTTTGGTGTTGCAAGCCCCAAATCACCCCTTCAAGCTCCCACCTATGGGAACTTAATCACTGTTCTCAGCATCGATGGAGGTGGAATTAGGGGGCTTATCCCGGAACTATTCTTGCCTTTTTAGAGTCCGAGCTTCAGGTAGCTGGAAACTTGTTTTGATTCATTCAATACATTAGCAAAATTCAATGTTTTCTTCAATTCTTTCTACGACTCCCTTGTATTCTAATATCATCATGTTTGGCACAATGGCTGTTTACAGAAGCTGGATGGCGAGGAAGCGAGGCTGGCAGATTATTTTGACGTCATTACTGGGACTAGTACCGGTGGCCTCGTCACTGCCATGCTAACAACCCCAGATCCCAACAACGAGAATCGCCCTCTTTTTGCCGCCAAAGACATCAACGATTTCTATCTTGAACACTGCCCAAAAATCTTTTACCAAGACAGGTAAGCTGATAGTTGTGGATAAAAATAGACGTCCATGGAATGCCATATAGTAAGAATACTGGCAGTCTGACATTATCCTTTTGTTATATAACAGTACGCCATTTGCCCCGGCTGCAAATTTGGTCAAATCTCTAACTGGTCCGAAATATGATGGTGAATATCTTCACAACATTGTGAGGGAAAAGTTGGGTGAAACCAGATTGCATCAAACATTGACAAATGTTGTGATCCCAACGTTTGACATCAAACAGCTCCAGCCAAAAATCTTCTCCTCCTACGAGGTTCATTTACTCAGCAATACCCTCTTATTACAAAATTTTAGGATGTAAAATTATTTACCTGGCTTGCATTTTATATCATAATATTATAGGTAAAGAACAACCCTTGCAAAAATGCTTTGCTTTCCGATATATGCATTGGAACGTCTGCTGCGCCAACTTATCTTCCTGCTCATCAGTTTGAAACCAAGGATTCCACTGGCAAAGTTCAAGAATTCCATCTTATTGATGGTGGAGTTGCCGCTAATAATCCCGTATGAATATATATCTAGATGTTTTTATCAATTAATTAGTGGTGATAAAAACTTTGATCATATGGTCTTAAATTAATCCATTAATATTACTCGCAGACCTTAGTGGCCATGAATGAAGTGACCAAAGAAATAACTCGTGGGAATCCAGATTCTTCCCTATAAAGCCAGACGACTATACTCGATTCCTAGTTTTATCCTTGGGCACTGGTTCCCCGAAATGTGAGGAGAAGTACCCTGCTCAAATGGCAGCAAAATGGGGTCTCTTGGGATGGCTTACTTGTGAACATTCCACTCCGCTGGTAGATGTTTTCATGCAAGCCAGTAGTGACATGGTCGACTTTCACAATGCTACTGTTTTCCGAGCACTTAAATCTGAAAAAAGTTATCTCCGTATTCAGGTATACATTTATATAGAGAGAAAATCATTTTTGTTTTTGGAAACGTAGTTAAGTGAGATTTATGCTTAACCTAAAGCATCAAATGAATGCAGGACGATACACTATGTGGAACAGTGGCATCTGTGGATATTGCTACAAAAGAAACTTGGAGGAACTTGTCAAGGTTGGGGAAAATCTGCTGAAAAACCAGTTTCCAGGGTGAATTTGGAGACTGGTAATTTTGAGCCTGTTAATCAGGGTACTAATGAGGAGATGCTCGTCAGGTATTATATCATATTATTTGAGTTCGACCTTATATTATTTATATACTATGCATAATACATCGAGTAAATTATATATATGATGCTAATTTGATTTCTTTTTACTTGCAGATTTGCTCGAGTGTTATCTAAGGAGAAGCGGCTTCGTGACATGACATCACCACTTGGAAAGCACCTTGCAGCAAAGAAGAAGTGATCAATGTTCTTAATGTATATTACGATTTTTTTTTTTAAATTAGGTGTTAACCTGATTAGTGATGAATTATTAAATTATTTCATTTATTTACAACTTCGTTTGCTCTGTTATTTGAAAAATATGCATGCCAGATGAAATAAATTTGTAACCCATTATTTAATTTATAATATAGTATTTCACACATCAATGTTTCACTTCTTTTTTCTAACATTTTAAAACTTAATTAACCTAGGTATTATATGTGTCTAATATTAACTCTCCTATTATAAAACAAATACAAATCTGATAATCATGATATTGATGGATAAAGTTACTGGCACATAAGTATCATAGTGGTATTTTATACCTATTTATAATAATATTAAAAAAAATTGATAACTCAAATGTAGTTATTTATCATACTTAAATTTTAATTCTCAACTAATGAATATTCAATCAATCGAATCAACTTATAAATATAATTTAGACATTAAAAAAATAAGTTTTATATGATAACTATATATTTATAATATTTTCTTAAATTTTTTTTTTGAAAAAACCATTCATCATATCAAAAGAACAATGTTAAGTGATGATATAATTTACAACCAGAAAAAGATTAATTATATTAATTTCGTTATCCCATTTGAGATTTATTAAAGCTAAAAACTTAAAACGATTACTCCAACATATTCTAAAATCAATTATAAAAACAATTAAAAAGGAAAATACTAAATTTTAACACCATTTTGATTATGTCCTCTAGCCTTTCCCTGGGGTGTCCTGGAACGACGGCGATGCCTCTCTTGGGACAGAAGAGCGGCAAACCTATAATATCAAAATTATTCATCCGAAATCAATGATCCATACAAATTTGGTCACCAGAAATGTTTAACAAGAGCAGTTGTATTAGTTTCTACAAATTCTACCTTATAAGAGCTTCTTCATTGGTTTCTTGAGTAAAAGGCTCAAACACGCCTGTTTCCAAGTTGACTCTAGAAACCCGTTTTTTCAACAGTCCCTCACCAACTTTCACGAGTTCATCTAAATTCTTCTTCGTTGCTACGTCCACAGAAGATACATCCCCACTTAAACCGTCATCCTGTTCATAACTCAAACATGTTAAAACCACAAAGAATTGTTTATATTTATTTGCCATTGAAAGCTCAAGAATCTGACTGCAAATGCATGTACCTGTACACGGAGGTACTTATCAGAGTGAAGGGCTTCAAAAACTACAGAAAGATGGAGGTCGACCATGTCTCCACTTGCTTGAGTGAATACATCGACCAAAGGGGTGGAACCCTCGCTGGTTAACCAACCTAATAAACCCCAGTTAGCTGCCTTTGTTGCTTTGTATTTCTTTTCGGGTTTTGGAGAGCCAGTCCCCAAGGAGATAACCAGAAATCTTCCGTAATCTATGGGTTTAATTGGAAAGAAATCAGCGTTTCCCTTAATGATCTCCTTGGTCACTTCGCCCATAGCTAGTAAAGTCTGGAAGGGCCAAAATATACATATATTTAGCTAAATGAAATGATCAAATTGATTCAGATATATTGAGATGCGCATATTTACCGGGTTGTTTGCAGCTACACCACCGTCTATAAGGTTATATTCTTTCACGTTTCCTTTGTTGTCTTCGTTTTTGAAGTAATGGGGCGGGAGATAGGTTGGTGCAGCTGAGGTTCCAATGCAGATATCTGAGAGTAAGACATCTAAATAGGTTTTTTCTTCATTTGATAGCTTGAGAAGATGATTGGCTGAAGATGGTTGATGTCAAATGTGGGGATGACAACATTGGTTAATGTT